AGGTCGTCGTCCATCCTGTCCTTTCCAGGAAGGTGGACAGGTCGCTGGGAGACATCTCCTTTATATCGGCAGGTGTAGGCCAAGACTCGCCGAACACACACTCTCTTATTGACGATAACTCCGGGCACTCGCACAGGATATGCCTGACAGTCTCATCTCACTGTTCACACATCCTGCATAGAGGTGTGTCGGCTAACCCCATATTATGGAGGTGTTTCCTTAGTTGACAGTGGCCAGTTAGAAGTCCTACTGTCCCAGGGTCGCCCAGGGTGATCCTAGCAAGATTGCATTCTTTGATTTCATCCCACCCCTTTAGGGATTGAGCATGGGTGTAACATTTGGCTAGTTCTACAATTGTTGAAGTAGGTGCCACTGGGTTCTAAAATTCTTAGTCCAGCCGCTTCCTTGGCAGAAGAGTTGGCAATGCGATTACCTTTTCTCATGTCGTGTCCTTTAACCCACCTCAGGATAATGTTATTATCTACCGAGGCTTTGGCTAAATCTTGGTGGCACTCTAGTACTAGCCCTGAGGTAACACGCTGTCTGTTCAAGGCTAATAGCGCTTGTCTGCTGTCAGTGCAGGTTATTATGTTTTTGCCAGAAATTTCTTTCCTGGTTATTTCTTTTGTGGCGATTGAGATATCAAATATAGCTTGTTAAAATAATATTTTAATTATTAGAGTTACTTGACTATTATATAAGGACACATTGTAAAATCAATTTAAGACTAGTACATAAGGCAATATTGTGAAATTAATTCAAAACACTCAAGATACTCAAGACACAGGTACCTAGAAGAGGTATCTATGGTATAAATGAGGATAACATCGTGAGTATTTTTAGTTTAGTCTTCCTCTTGAAGATGATCACTTGGTGATCCACACGTGGAAGTTGTTTCAAAACCTACATATGGTGGGTGTACGCGACTATTAAAATCTAATGTCAATGGTCAAAAAAATCGATTTTTTTGCACATTTCTTACAAATATCTCGTTTTCTATGGGTTTTTCGCTATTTGTATCCGTTATCAATATGATAGAGAGTTGAATTACCTATAACTTGTGTATCAAAATTTGCTTATACTTTGAATCGTTTTCGAGATAGAGGGGAAGCTTTTCTCAATGCTTTATCTCATCATAACGATGTCAATGAAGAATAACCTTTGACCCCAAAATTATGGAAGACCTGGAGACGAATGTTGTTGAAGAAGATGAAGAGGAGGATTTTGAAATACTACAGTGGTCGAAAGACGACGATGAAGAAGAAGACAATAATTAAAATTACAAGTTGTAGTTTTTGTAATTTTCATTCATTTTTTTTTAATTTTCACAATCATCAATGTATGTAATATTTCTCAATAAAAACTTTAATTAAGAATTATTTTAGAAGTCAATAAAAAAAATCTGTTTTTCCGTTGATCCGTTAACATTAATGACATTAGGATTCGAATATAATTTAAGTATTTTCCTTAACAATTCCATAACCTAATACGATACTTTTTGAGTATAGAAACATATAAAAAAAGTAATACAAATTATGAAATTATGAAACAACAACAAACATTTATTGGGGCTCCGAGGCAACTTGATTGATTCCAGTGGCGCTTTGGCTTTTTCAGCTGCAGGAAAACCCGGAAAAACTTAAAGCACTACATCATCTAACGATCTTGATCTGCTAATGTCCTCTCTTTCATAGAATAAAATGTAGGGTGCCTCCAAAGCCTTCAATAAATTCAAGATAATGCCAGAATACTTAGTGATATTCTATAACTACACGGAATGTAATGAATTTATCATGTATAAATTTGTTAGGTAGTAATAGTCATTAGGATTCAAATTACTATTGAAGTATGGCACAGAATTTGTTGAGTCAGAATTGTGACGCCTGAAGATGTTATTGTATAGCGAAACACGTGTCGCGATTTTGTAAACTGTCAATTGGAAATCTCACATTTTTGAATAAGTAATATGGGCTCAAATACTTTCGATTTGTAGATTTTATTTTGTAGAAAATTTATTTTAAAACAGAGAAATGCGCTTCTAAGACTCATGGTTTTTCAATTCTATCAGAGCATTGGAACATTTTAGAGCCGAAAAAGTATTTACATTTCATGTTTATAAGAAAAACCTGACAAGTACCAAATACATTGACATTTTAGGAAATCCGATTGAACCAATTCAACAACAATTTTTCATTGAATCCTTGCTGAGAAGTTTCCTGAGTTAATATCTGGTTTTATGGAATGTTAGACGATAATTCACATGCGAAATAACATTTTTGTCGATAAAGAAACATTTCCAAAACTGATTTTGTTTGTCGAAATAGATATTGCGAATTGAACGAGAAAAATGAAACAATTTCCTGATAAAAAAACATAGACGAATGCTTTTACAAATTAGAAACAGTCTGAATAAGGAAAGATTTGTCATTGTAGAGCAACACGAACATTCAAATAAATAATGGGAAAGACGAACCATAAGTAAAAAGAAAAAAAGTATGAAATATCACATGAACTTTCAAAAAACACTTTATTGTGAAATTCTCACTAAACGATTTTACAAAAACACAACACGTGTTTCGCCATACAATGGCTTCTTCGGGCGTGTTTTTACTAACTAATCCTACATAGTCAAATATACCTTATTCTACAATTTGAAGTACCTACATTTCAAGTACGTGATTTTTACCTAGGTTTGTAATGAATTAAATTACCTGAGCTTATGTCCCAGTTTTCACATTTGAAAAAATATTGAGTAACGGGGAGTTATTCAATTCTAATTGATCATTCTGTAAATTACCCGAACTCCTGAATCTATTGATTTCTAAACATTCTAGAAGATTGAGATTCAAACTCTTCTCTTCTAAATGTAACATATCGTATTCATGATCGAACTCATGTTTCAAATGGTGGTTTGCAAATGTGGAATTGGTCTTTCTATTTACAAAACTACTCCTAAGCTCGTCAATTCTTTGGGAAACTGTTCTTCCTGTTTGACCAATATACAGTTTTGGACAAGAGCCACAAGTCAGCTTATATACTCCTGATCTATCCGGCACCGAAGTTTTGTCTTTATTGTTTTTAATAANTCCTGAGTTAATATCTGGTTTTATGGAATGTTAGACGATAATTCACACGCGAAATAACATTTTTGTCGATAAAGAAACATTTCCAAAACTGATTTTGTTCGTCGAAATAGATATTGCGATCCTATAACTGACGTTGTCGCATCTTGAATTTGGGTAGACCAGGTCCATGGCTTGCTTTTGTTGTTTTTTGGAAAGAATGGAGTCTATAATAACTACCTTATAACCGTTGTTAACCACAATTTTTTTATCAAACTCAGCTCTCTCTGGAAATCACTCTCAGGAAGTGGAATCTTCAATACTCTGTGCAGAATACTATTGAATGCAACAACTTTATGCTGGAAAGGGTGTGTGGAGAAAGTATAACGTATGGTTAAGAAAAGGTTATTTATTGAATTATTAACCTCCCTCTCAGTGGTGAATTTTCATGGCGGGTGGATGGAATTGACATATTCAATAAACTTGCCTAATTGCCTATCTGTACCAGTAAAACAGACTAAGATATCATCTACGCATCCGTACCAGTGAAAGAAACTGTTAGTTAACTGATTATTTTGGATTTCATACTCTATGTTATCCATGAGAATTTCAGCCAGCAAGAGGCTCAAAGGGTTTCCCATTATTAGTCTTTCACTGCATGAATAGAATTTATTCTCAAACTGGAAATGATTTTGAGATAGGCAAATAGTAAGTGAATCTAAAATTTCCTGTTTTATCAGTGGATTCACGTGGAATGTAGGCACTTCAAATTGTAGAATAGGGTATATTGAGCATTGAATATGTAGAATTAGTTAGTAAAGATACGCCCGAACAAACCATTATATAGCGAAACACGTGTTGCGTTTTTGTAAAATCGTTTAGTGAAAATCTCACAATAAAGTGTTTTTTGAATACGTTAGGTATGGATATTCATCAGATATCGACCAATTCCATCATATACAATGAACTTTGAACTGATAAACTTCTGATAGTGAGATCTATGAGATCAAAAAATAACAGACACAAAATACAAAGTAAAAGAGGATAGGATATTAAGGTATCGGATCTTTCACAAGTTGATGAATCTGGCCTTCAATTGTGCTTATTAGTGATTATTCAAGAATATATCAATTAATTTTTTAGTTTCATTTATTCAACAATTGAATAAGATTTCATTTATTTTTTCTAAGCGAACAAGTAATTGTTTTCGAAATTATTTCCATTGTGTTTCAACAACGCTTTCATGCTTCAACTTGTAAATATTTCATGAACTAGTTTCT